AATTGATTTAGAAAAAGCTACAAATTTGGATGTGACCCCCAAGAACATGTCGAAGTCTTAGTCTTAGCTACCTATCAACCTAATATCCTACTCGCTATTATCTACTTATATCTAGAAACCTAAATGATCAAATTTGATCGCCTTTGCGATTGCCATGAGGCTCTTGGCGAACGGGACAGGTGAGCACAGGTGCGGTGCCTTCCTTTCCAATGACTTCCTTGGGCTCGTCTCCAAATGTCTCCAGTTCGTCCTTCAATGCTGTCAATCTGCCTTTAGGTGCTGCTTCGGTAACGCCAAAAATGTTGTAATCCTCATCTGGACTGCCTGTTGGCATGGCCATGGTGGTTCCGTCAGTTTCTTCACTCATCCACGATCCCGTATCTTTGACTTTGGCATGGTCATCATCCGAGAGCATGCCCCACGTACCCTGGCCCTGGCCCTGGCCCTGGCCTTTCCCTGGTTGCGCCACCATCAGCATGGCACCTGCAAGCAACACCACCAATAAGAAACAACATCCAAGGGATAGGTATAGGTATAGGTATCCATACTTACACCATAAAATCATGACAGCATTCAGCATGCCCATTGTTAAAGATATCAGCTGGGTAAGTCCCAACGTATGGACTTTAATGACTAAAACTGTATCCAGCTGTATCGAACTCGTATCTGGGACTTGACAGTCCCAGTCGATAAAATGTGACTTGGATCCAAAAAACGAAACNATAGGTATAGGTATAGGTATAGGTATCCATACTTACACCATAAAATCATGACAGCATTCAGCATGCCCATTGTTAAAGATATCAGCTGGGTAAGTCCCAACGTATGGACTTTAATGACTAAAACTGTATCCAGCTGTATCGAACTCGTATCTGGGACTTGACAGTCCCGATAAAATGTGACTTGGATCCAAAAAACGAAACAATGTTCGACAGTGCAGTTCGACATTTCAGCCTCAACACATTGATGTACAAATGTATGTAGTATTTTTGTTGTACTAGCGTACTAGCGTACTAGCGTCACGAACATGTACATGTAGGTAGCTTGGTACCTTTTCATTGTTGCTTCCATTTTGCGATCCGATCGATTGTTGCAGCTTTTCAAACTCCAGCCTCTGTATTTCTCTGTATTGCCACATGCCACAAAGATAAGTTGCCACAAAGTTGTTATTGAAAATACCAAAACAATTCCTAAGAACTCCCGATGATGCCTTGATCAGTCTGGCAGCACAAC